GTTTGAAAATTTCTCTCTGAAGAAAAGTCCGATTATTTGACTAGGCAGCGATTTTGAAAATGACAAGTGGCATATGATCCAATATTCGCATCTAATTTCCAACAACCGATTGCGAGCGCGAGACCTGATTAGTGCTTTTCTAAAACCTTAAGTCCTAAACTAAAACAAAACCGTATGTAATCAATTGAACATCGATTTTGATATTTAAGTCTTGTTTTTGCACTTATCTCCATATAAACCCATATGAAGTTATGGGCTAGTAAGATATAATTCCCAAGTCTGTAGTGCTGGCCTAACCACTAAAGGCAGTTAATCATCATCTGTGATCATGTCATGTCATTATTCCTAATTGTCGTAATTATTACACGGCACTTTAGTGTGTCCAAGGACTCAACAAGCATAAGCTAATATCATACTTAATTATCAATGAATTTAACTGTTAGGGAGAGGAAGATTCTTTGTCCTGAGCACTGATCCATTCAGTGTCTGGACAAGTTCCAACTGTTGACAATAATCCCATTTCCATAAACCAGTGGTTTAGATTTTAGACGTTGTCTTGTTCATCTAGATGATCAAGACAGCCTATCTGATTCTTTCTTAGTCTCTTTTGTCTGCTCCCGAAACCCGAATTGATTCTCTCTAGGCGACATAAGGAAAACACTCGGATGGTGGTGTGCCGGTCAATGGAAGCTTAATTTATGAAAATTACAAAAAGTCAATTGTCCTTGTCCTCATTGAAGCCCACAACGTGAATTCGACGAAAAGAAAAGGGTTATTAACCCGCTGATTTCGATGAAATCAATGAAAGAGACCCTATATTAGTTATCACCATTTCTGTTCAAATATATTTCGAGTTTGAGCCCGATAAACGAAACCCGACTCGAAATTATTTGTGTGGAGATCTGAACATTTTAAATTGGATGTTTCATGATATGAAATTGGAATCAGCGAAGAAAGAAAGAATATTATTCTTTCCTAATTCTTGTGGAATTCATGGCCAGAAGAGGAAAGAAGAAAAATAAAATAAAAAGGAAAGTCCAACTTTGGACGTTGTTGACCGAACTTCACGGTTTCCTATTCCGTGTTGAGATGGCCACGGTGCTTCCTTTCCTGGATATATATATGTTCTTTGTTAGTGGGACTCTCTAGCGCAAAAGACTTGAAGCGCCGAAATAGAGTGCTTGGCAGAGGGTTTCACGGGTCTTTCTTCGGCAAATTACATTCAAGAGTTTAAGTGTTAGTAGAGATTAAATCTTATGATAAGATTTGTGTATAATTCCTTCGTGAGATTGAGAGATTATTTCGTGAAGAATTGTTGGGCTAAACACTGCGTGCGTTATTGGGTGTAATTGGGGCTTAGAAAACACTTAGAGTGTTTGAGTGACTTGAGTATGGTTGTAATCTCCATTGTATCGCTTGATCTATAGTGGAATTCCGTGTTGCTCTTCCCATGGACGTAGGTCACTACGACCGAACCACGTAAATCTGGTGTCCGATTTATTTTCTTATTCTGTCAATTTTATTGTTCGATCGCTTGGCTTCCGCAACAATTTCTACCAAAAAAAAAAAACATCATCATATGTCGGCTTGTGTTGTACTTGGCTTAAGCTAGTCCTTCCTATCAAGAGGTTCTTAAATATTACAAGACCCCAAAAGTTGTGTAACGTCCCGAATTCGACCCACTTTCGTAATCAATGAAATTGACATATTTCTCATTTCGTTTTAGTAAGTCTCGTCCGGAACTGATCATTCTCGGGATACTGACCAATAGGGAATGGCTAACTAGGAAAAATGGTACGTGGACCCAAGAACTCGACCGTGAATTGAATCCGATTCCAAGAAACAACGGGGGAATATTTTGTGCCAATGTAGGCCGATCTAGGGAGAGTGACGAATTCAGTTTGGCCAACGATGTACGATTGGATCGCGGATGATTCCGCGCAACATAGAATGCGCGTGACGAACGATCCCGAACTTATTCCGAACGATCGCGACCCTCGGGACTAGTAAAAAAATCCTTGCGTTCTCTTGAGAATCGAGGCCGTCACGACTCGAGTAGCCCTAGATCGATACGCATAACCCCTAAACAGCCGCCCGTTAGTGAGAGACGCTAAAATCGCAAGTTGAGCGAAATCGATCATGGAATTGAGTCCGAACTTCGGTGTCGAGTTTTGTGGGCGTGCGCGACTATTTTTGCAAGGATGATGTCATTTTTATGTGGCCAATTATATTTGGGATCGGCAGAGTCGAAAATTGGAAATTTGACTCGGGACCGAAAAATTACGATTTTGCCTCTAGGCCCCTAAGCTTGGATTCCGAATTTTGGAGGTTTATTAGCGGATATTATGGTCTTGTTAATTATTATTATTATTATTGTTAGAATCTTAGACCAAGATGCCCCTAGATATTTTGTTAGAATTGATCCTAGCCCTTGGATTAGGGGCAAGATAGTCATTATTGCAAAGTTGGTCAACCACCCCACTATCTTCCTCAAGCCTATATCCCTCCCATTCTCTCTCACTCTTCTCATTTTTCCTCCTCCCCAAGTCATCCGGCCAACCCCCCTCCTCTCTCCCTCTCCCGCGAGCTCTCTCCTCCTCTCTCTCGGCCGCACGCCACCCGCCGGGAAGCCACCGCCGGTGCCGCCACCATCCGCACCCCGCCCAGCACACCATCCAGCCATCCCTCTCTCTCTTTCTCCCCCCTCTCGGCCGCGGGAACAGCGCCCCCCACCGTGGACCGCCGTCCACAACCCGCCGCCGCTCGCGCCGCCCTTCGTCGCCGCTTGCGCCGCCAAGGAATCAGCTCAGCCCGCCCATTTTCCCCACTTGTTCAGCCTTGTTAAGAGCTTAGGAATCCAAGTGAGTACAACCCTAAACCCTAATTAGGCTAATTTACATTTCTAGATGAGTTTAGGGGTTAATTGGGGTAATTTAGGGGTTAGCTTGTGGAGGATGTTAGGGGGCTGACTTTGTGACTAATTTAGTGGCTTAGTGTGATAATTTAATTGAGGTTTAGTGGCTCATAATGTGCTGTATGTTGGCTGAGCATAGGCGCCTTGATTTGGGCATAATTGTGAATTTGGCGGGTGTGATTTGTGGGCCGAGTGGTGGCTGTTTTCATGGCGATTTTTGTGGTCTAATGGGATGATTTAGAAGTGATTTGATGACCTAAGATGGACTGTTCATGGCTGATTTGGTATCGGGTCGATTCGGGCCATAATTGGTTTATCGAGGTTTTAGGGTGAATTGCTTAGGGAACGGTGATCGGCCCGTGAGGATGCTAAGTTAATCATGGCTTGAGAGTGACTATGCAATGCTCTATGATGTGCTTGGCATGGCCAATTTAGGAGATGCTTGGTAGGCTATCGGCATGTGTGGTTTTGTTGTCTAATTGCGTGAATTTGAGAGCTAAACTATATGTTGTGCCTGATTTGGATTGGTTGGTTCATTGGGCATATTGAAATGTGAATTAAGCATGTTGTGGTGTTATTTGAATAAATAGCCAAATCATATTGAGTGCCCAGAGTGAATTTCACGAATGCCGAGTGTGGATATAATGGCCATGAGCGTGCATACTGAGTATGGGCATAACATGTGCATTATGTGTGTGTGCACAAAAGGCATGAGCATGTGATCACCTAATCGCCCTGATGCGTTTTACGCGGGGTTCAGATAATAACTGGTGTATGTGAATGTGTGATCACATAAAGCCCTGATGCGTTTTACGCGAGGTATTGAACCGTACTGAGGCGTGTTACGCGGGACGATGCCCGGACTATCGGAAGATAACCAACCTGATGCGTTTTACGCGGGTTATGTGTCATGAGCCTGATGTGTTTTACGCGGGCCAGAGATCGATCTCGAAGTGATAGACCTGATGAGTTTTACGCGGATCGAACCAAATGCGTTTTACGCGGGTCGGAGGAGAATTGGTAAATTGCAAGTGTGTAAGAGTGCAAGTGTGCGAAAGTGCATTGATGAGACATAAGCACAAGTATGAGCATAAGCATATGCATGACATGCGTTGTGACCAAGTGATCTTGTGCATGTACCACGATTGGGTTCTGTGTTATCATTGTGAATTTATAAAGTGTCTAACCTGCAGGGTCAATTGAGTATTGGATTTGGGCCCGAGGGCCTAAGTCATTTATATTTTTGATTGTGTGTTGATTAGTTCTTATCAGGAGGTGCATGTTAGCCTAGTTTAGGTTTAGGAGGCTTACTCGCTGAGATTTATTCTCATTGTTGTTTAAATCCCACTTTTCAGACCCCTAGCCTTGAGGAGAGCAGGCGTACCGATACGCTTTGGGAGGAGCCCCGGCTAGATATAGTGCTTGACCGTCAAGCCACGTACCCCCTTTTGATGTTGGTGGCTGTTAACCCGTTTTGGCTTTTATATGTTTATTCTGTTGTAATAGACATTGTAAATCCCCGTTATTAGTGCAAGTTGTATTTATGGTATTACTGCTATCCTTGGTCATGTGGTTTTAATTTGTACGGGTGTTTGTTTGCTTCTGCTTGTGCATTGTTCTCTCTTTTGGGTTTCGGGTCAGCGATGCGTCCTGGGACGTCGCACTGAATTGACCTCGGTAGGGTTGTCACGTGCCATAGGGTTCGGGCCATGACATCCCCGTTTAATTTGGTATCAGAGCAAGGTCAGCTCGATTCAATTCGGTCGAAGCCTGGATTAATAAGGAGCGATGACCTTGGGTAGTCAGTAGGGTGACCTCGTGTGCTAAATGTACCTCCTGGCTGTCTGTGTTTTGATTGAGTGCTTATATGAACTGACCCATAAGGTGCAGGTGTAGCAGGACCCAAGGTAAGTATGCGAATCTCCTTGGTTGGGAACTTGTGCTATTTATGCTTAATCGCATGCCGAGTGATTGACTGTTATTGTGTTAAGTTCCCTGCCTAGGACCTTAGATCGGTTTAGCTTGGCTTAGGTCTCTAATTCCTGAATGGAATTATAGCAGGTAGGTAAGCGTGCGAGTTGGGAAGATGAGTAGCCAAGGAAGAGGTAGAGGTCAAGGCCGTGGTCGAGGTAGAGATCGAGGTCGTGAGCAGGACTGTGTAGAACCACAAGTAAGGGTTGTCGAGGATCCGTGGGTGGATGGAATTTTAAGGGCTCTCGAGGAAGCTGGAATTCTAGGAGGTAGGCTAACCCAAGAGAGAGATGCCACTATTGCCGCTGCTGTCGAGGCTGCCGTTGCTACTGCCAATGGAGCCAATGGGAATAATAGAAATAATGGGAATCAGGGGATCAATGAGAATCCAATTCTAGGACCGGCGAATGTGATCAACCCGATGTCTAAGTTGGTAGAGCAGTTCTTAAAATTGAAGCCGCCGAAGTTCAACAGGAAGGGTGACCCCAAGGCTGCACCACATTGGGTGGAGGAGTTGGAGAAAGCCTTTGATGTGCTGGGGTGCACCGATACTGAAAGGGTGACTTTAGCGGTGTATCAGCTGCAGGAGAATGCAAATGACTGGTGGAAGGCTACCAAGGGCAGAGTATTCCCGAAAGGTACCGCCCAAACTTGGGCCACATTTACTGAGAATTTCTACGGAAAGTATTTCTCCGAGAGTGCTAGGGAGAGAAAGTTAGCGGAGTTCATGAGACTCCGTCAGGGATCGATGACGGTGGATCAATACGAGGCAGAATTTGCAAGACTGTCGCGGTTCGCGCCCAGGATAATTGAGGATCCACAGGATAAAGTTAGGAGATTCTGGGATGGGCTGAAATCGGATCTGAGAAGTCAGACGATATCGCTGAACATCAAGGACTATGGTGAGATGTATGAGCGAGCGCAGGCTATAGAGCGAGATCAAACTGATAGGGCAGCCGCTTCTAGGTCGCGGTTCGTCCAGAGCGGGGACAACCGCCGTCTCGAAAAGAAGCCGATGGCGGGAAATCAACGATTTGTCCTACCGATTAGAAAGAATATCGGAAAGCCGAACTACCAGCAGAACAGGTCTGGGGCCTGCTTCAAATGCAGGAGTATGGACCATCAGATCAGGAATTGCCCCTAACAGCACCCCGCAGGACCCCCGATACAACTATCACAACCCCGAGTTGGGAATCAGTCTGGGAATCCACCGCCAGCTAATTTGAACAGGCTGCTGGCATAAGGACGGTGTACGCCATGGCGCAGAGGGAAGTAGAGAATGTGCCAGGCGTGGTCACAGGTATGGTTTCTCTGTGCCATCATGTAGCATATGTTTTGTTTGATCCGGAGGCGTCGCACTCCTTTATATATGCTCAGTTTGTTGAATTGGCTGGATTAAAACCTGTCTTGTTAGAAGTAAGGTTGTGTGTGACTAAGTCATTAATGGATAAGATATGCATATCGTTACGATGCCCGAATTATGAGATAGTAATTGATGGCGTAGAAAGCAGGATAGACCTGGCGATTTTGCCAATGTATGATTTTGATTTGATTGTGGGCATGGATTGGTTAGTCAAGCAGAATGCCATAATGGATTGTAGTAGCAGGGTGATCGAGTTTAGTCCGGCTGGATACCCTAGATTCGAGTTTGTAGGGAGTCGAGGAGGAACCTCGATCCCTTGGATTTCATCTGTAGAAGCAACTAAGTTGTTGGATGAGGGCTGTCAAGGTTATCTAGTAAGTGTGGTTGATTCAACGACGGGAGAAGTGCGGCTAGAAGATATAACTGTGGTGTGTAACTTTCCCGATGTCTTTCTCCAGGAATTGCCGGGATTGCCACCAGAAAGAGAAGTGGAATTTGTTATCGAGTTGCCCCTAGGACTGAGCCAATCTCGAAGCCGCCTTATAGGATGTCATTGTTAGAGTTGAAAAAATTAAAGGCGCAGATGCAGGAACTGCTAGACAAAGGTTTTATCCGACCGAGTGCGTCTCCATGGTAAGCGCCAGTATTGTTCGTCAGGAAAAAGGATGGGTCGTTGAGGCTGTGTATCGACTACCGTCAACTGAATCAAGTGACGATCAATAATAAGTATCCCCTCCCAAGGATTGATGACCTGTTCAACCAGTTACAGGGAGCCTCGGTATTTTCCAAGATTGACCTAAGGACCGGATATCATCAACTAAGGATCCAAAAGGAGGATATCCCAAAGACGGCATTTAGGACGAGGTATGGGCATTATGAGTTCACAGTAATGCCATTTGGGCTAACTAATGCCCCTGCTGCTTTCATGGACTTAATGAATCGGGTAGTCAAGGAATTCTTAGACCAGTTCGTCATTGTCTTCATCGATGATATTCTAGTGTATTCGAAGAGTCCCGAGGAACATGACGCACACTTGGAAAAGGTTCTAAGGACGCTAAGAGAGCATGCGCTGTATGCTAAGTTTAGCAAGTGCGAGTTTTGGCTGAACCGTGTAGCATTTCTTGGGCACATAATTTCCGGAGAAGGAATCTCTGTGGATCCGGCAAAGATTAAGGCAGTGATGGATTGGCCGAGACCGACGACAGTTACTGAGGTTCAGAGTTTCTTAGGACTGGCAGGTTATTATCGACGATTTGTGGAAGGATTCTTAGCGATAGCCACTCCATTGATAAGGTTGCTTAAGAAGGAAATGAAGTTTGAATGGACGGAAAAGTGCGAAGAGAGTTTTTAGGAATTGAAGCAGAAATTGACGACTGCGCCAGTGCTAACGATCCCTTCAGGACCGGGAGGATATGAGATTTATAGCGATGCTTCGCTCAAGGGATTGGGATGCGTGCTAATGCAACATGGAAGGGTGGTTACTTATGCATCGCGTCAGTTAAGGCCTCATGAGATGAATTACCTGACTCACGACTTGGAACTGGCAGCAATCATTTTCGCGCTCAAGATTTGGAGGCACTACTTATGTGGAGAAAGGTTCCAAATCTACACAGATCATCAGAGCCTCAAGTATCTATTCTCGCAGAAGGAATTGAATATGAGGCAGAGGCGTTGGATGGAGTTGCTAAAGGACTATGACTGTGACATTCTGTATCATCCCGGGAAAGCCAACCGGGTAGCGGATGCCTTAAGCCGGAAATCGAGCATTGCGCATTTAATGGTCAAAGAATGGATTTTATTGGAAAGAGCGCGAGACTCAGAATTTAAGTTCGAGGTAGGACACCTCTCCAGTCTGATGGCGACGCTGAGGGTTGAACCAGAAGTGCAAATCAAGATTAAGGCGTTGCAGTCTACGGACTCTGAGATTCAGAAGATTCTGGAGATGGATGGCAATAAGAGGAAACCAGATTTCCAAGTGTCCGAGGATGGAATTCTTATGTTTCGAGGACGTCTGTGCGTACCTGATGACTTGGGACTTAAGGAGGAGATCCTATCGGAGGCTCATAGGAGCAATTATAGTATCCACCCGGGCAGCATGAAGATGTACCAGAACCTTCGACAACACTATTGGTGGAACGGAATGAAAGGGGACGTGGCCAAGCATGTGGCCAAGTGTCTGACGTGCCAACAAGTGAAGGCACAGCATTGTAAACTTGATGGGATGTTGTAGCCGTTGGAAATCCCAGAGTGGAAATGGGAGCACATTACGATGGATTTTGTAACGGGATTACCAAGAAGCCAGAGGGGACACGACTCTATTTGGGTGATAGTGGACAGATTGATCAAGTCAGCACACTTCCTGGCAGTGCGAAAGGACCTCGAACTAGAAAGGTTTGCAGATTTATATGTGCGGCAAATAGTCCGTCTTCATGGAATACCGGTATCAATCACTTCGGACCGTGATCCCTGGTTTACTGCGAATTTTTGGAAAAGTCTGCAATCGGCCATGGGAACCAAGTTACAATTCAGTACGGCCTATCATCCACATACGGATGGCCAATCTTAGAGGACTATTCAGACCTTAGAGGATATGCTGAGAGAGTGTGTATTAAATTTTCAGGGCAAGTGGGAAGAGCAGTTGCATTTGGTAGAATTTGCCTACAATAACAGCTTTCAGCAGAGTATCGGGATGGCACCGGTTAAAGCACTTTATGGTAGAGCGTGCAGAACTTCGTTGTGTTGAGACGAAGTGAGCGAAAGAAGTATAACGGATCCAGAGTTGGTTCAGCAGTCGGTAGAAACTGTAAAGATTATCCAGGAAATGCTAAGGACAGCTCAGAGTCGTCAGAAAAGTTACGCGAACCGAAGGCGTAGACCGTTGGAGTTCAGATTGGCGACCATGTGTTTCTTAAGATCTCACCGATGAGAAGACTATCTCGGTTCGGCAAGAAGGGAAAGCCGAGTCCAAGGTATATAGGCCCGTTTGAGATTTTGGAAAGGATTGGAACATTGGCTTATCGTCTCGTCTTGCCGCTGAACTTGTCGCAGGTTCATAACGTCTTCCACGTGTCAATATTGAGGAAGTACGAATTGGATCCGACCCACGTGCTGAATCATGAGGTAATAAACGTGGACGACAGAGTGTCGTACGTAGAGAGATCGGTGCGAATCGAGGACAGAAAGGAGCAGGTTTTGAGGAACAAGACGATCCCGTTGGTCAAAGTTGTCTGGGAATATCACGGGACTGAAGGCGCCACCTGGGAAAGCGAGGAAGTAATGCGACGTTAGCACCCCCATTTATTTGAGTAGTCGGGTTGGAATATAAATTTCGAGAACGAAATTTTTGTAAGGAGGGAAGAGTTATAACGTCCCGAATTTGACCCACTTTCGTAATCAATGGAATTGAGGTATTTCTCATTTCGTTTTAGTAAGTCTCGCCCGGAACTGATCATTCTCGGGATACTGACCAATAGGGAATGGCTAACTAGGAAAAATGGTACGTGGACCCAAGAACTCAACCGTGAATTAAATCCGATTCCGAGAAACGACGAGAGAATATTTTGTGCCAATGTAGGCCGATCTAAGGAGAGTGACAGATTCAGTTTGGCCAACGATGTACGATCGGATCGCGGGTGATTCCGCGCAACCGAGAGTGCGCGTGGGGAACGATCCCGAACTTATTTCAAACGATCGCGACCCTCGGGACTACCGATAAATCCTCACGTTCTCTTGGGAACCGAGACCGTCATGACTCGAGTAGCCCTAGGTCGATACGCGTAACCTCTAAACAGCCGCCCGTTAGTGAGAGACGCCAAAATCGCAAATTGAGCGAAATTGATCATGGAATTGAGTCTGAACTTCGATGTCGAGTTTTGTGGGCGTGCGCGACTATTTTTGCAAGGATGATGTCATTTTTATGTGACCAATTATATTTGAGATCGGCAGAGTCGAAAATTGGAAATTTAACCCGGGATCGGAAAATTACGATTTTGCCCCTGGGCCCCTAAGCTTGGATTCCGAATTTTAGAGGTTTATTAGCGGATATTATGGTCTTGTTTATTATTATTATTAATGTTAGAATCTTAGACCAAGATGCCCCTAGATATTTTGTTAGAATTGATCCTAGCCCTTGGATTAGGGGCAATATAGTCATTATTGCAAAGTTGGTCAACCACCCCACTATCTTCCTCAAGCCTATATCTCTCCCATTCTCTCTCTCTCTCTTCTCATTTTTCCTCCTCCCCAAGTCAGCTGGCCAACCCCCCTCCTCTCTCCCTCTCCCGCGAGCTTTCTCCCCCTCTATCTCGGCCGCGTGCCACCCGCCGGGAAGCCACCGCCGCCGCACACCGGCACCTCCACCGTCCGTGCCCCACCTAGCACACCATCCAGCCGTCCCTCTCTCTCTTTCTCCCCCGTTCTCGGCCGCGGGAACAGCCCCCCCCCCCCCCCCCACCGTGGACCGCCGTTCGCAAACCGCCGCCGCCCGTCGCCGCCGCTTGCGACACCGTGGAATCAGCTCAGCCCGCCCATTTTCCCCACTTGTTCAGCCTTGTTAGGAGCTTAAGAATCAAAGTGAGTACAATCCTAAACCCTAATTAGGCTAATTTACATTTCTAGATGAGTTTAGGGGTTAATTAGGGTAATTTAGGGGTTAGCTTGTGGAGGATGTTAGGGGGCTGACTTTGTGGCTAATTTGGTGGCTTAGTGTGATAATTTAATTGAGGTTTAGTGGCTCATAATGTGCTGTATGTTGGCTGAGCATAGGCGCCTTGATTTGGGCA